ACTTCTGATTCCTTTTTATTTTTATAAAAATACTAAGAAAATCACTAATCCCTCTTAATTTTTCCCTCTTTTCCTGTCTGTTGGCGGTCACCACTCGTTCTAACGGAGTCCGTTTTCCTCGTTTCCCCGACTAAGGTCTCAAAATGTCGGAAAAAATACAAGGACCAACTTTGGTCCGGGCGAGGTTCACCTAATTTCGCTTCTTTTCTTCGTAATTAAAATAAAAGAAAATTCACGATTTTCGGAATTTCAATTAGAAAAATACAAAAAATTTCATATCTCCTTTTCTAGCCATTAAAAATTTTCAAAAAATATCTCTAAACGTTCCCCTCGACGAGAGGTCGAACTTTGCTCCCGGTGCGCCTCACGCAAAAACGCGCGAATCGGGAGATATAAAAAAAAAACGAGTTAAATATTTAAACTCATGATTTTAGGATTTTCAATTAGAAAATACAAAAAATTTCATATCTCTTTTTCTAGCCGTTAGAATTTCTCAAAAAACGTCTCTAAACGTTCGCCTCGACGAGAGGTCGAACTTTGCTCCCGGTGCGCCTCATATAAGTATTGATCCTTAATATATATGAACTAAGAAAGAAAATTTAACTTAACTAAATACATTTTCTTTAATTTATAATTAAAAAATACAAAAGAATTCCCTAGAAGGAGAAGGGAAAGAGACGTTGCGGTAACCTGGTTTCAGGTGAACCTACTAGCTTGTTCTCGAAGGCGTGAGAAAAACGACGCGAAATTTCAGTCATTAATCTACACCTTCTGCTTGCCGCGCTCTCTCTAGCCGCCAGTTGAATGTGGCCGCGGGTGCAAGTAGAGGTCTATGGGGCTACCATTGACTGGGACTTAGAGCCCCCTGAACTCATAGAGGGGGATCTGGTCGAGCTCACGATCCCCGGACGCAGCATTCGAAACGCTGACGGCCAGTTTGCGTGGAGGTCCATAATCCTGTCCGAGGACATGTGGCTTTGGACGTACAGAGAGCACCGGTCGAGACAAGAATTAGGCGTAGTGAGAGCCTACTTGTATTTGGGACCAGGTGCGGTTAGGGAGGCCGTGGTGGGCCTCGCGACGACAGGGACTAGTGACGCAGTTAGCAGGGCGTTACGCTACCTAGGGGAAGAGGTAGCGGCGTTCCGAGCGGAGGACGCGAGCGACCCGTTGACCCTATTTCATAGACGCCCTCCTCTTGATATCACGGGCGAACTGGTGGTAGCACGGGATGGCTTTTTCCCGTACAGCGTTAGGAGCCTGCGGGCGATAGTTCCGACGTTCGTAGTTGAGAGTGTCTTTGGAGGTATTGGTGGAGTGGTCGAGACATACCTGGCCTATCAGGATCTCAAGATCCTGGCGAGAAGGCCTGCCGACCTAGACTACATCTATTATTCGCTCGCGACTGGTGGGCCTCGTTGGGGAGACGAGAGGGTTCAGCTTATAGAGCTGATCCGCTCGATAGACGACGAGTGGCCCCAGTCTCCGTGCATTTGGGATTGGCTGGACCGTGAGCTCCGAGCAGGCCCCGAGTACGTGACCTGCATCGGGCGGCTCTTCTCAGACGACTGGGGGAGCTGGTGGAGTGAGGACGCCGGGCGACCTCTGATATACGGCCATCAGTTGACGGAATACTACCAGGCCATAGGACAGGCGCCATACCGCGTCGAGGACGAGTTTGACGACGAGGGTGGGAGCGAGAAGATGACGAGGAGTGGGAGCCAGACTGGGTCGACCCAGAGAGTGAGGTTGACGAGGAGAAGATTGATGTTATAGACGCCTATTTTCCCAGGATATGAGTAGCGGTCTGGGCGTAGGAGGTAGAGGAGCGCACCAGGGCGACGGTTGAGTGAGCCTGGCTACTGAACCTATTCGACCATACTGGACCTGAGTGCGAGAGTTGTCTAAAGGGTTAGCAACGTCGGAAGATGGGGTGCATCGGAGGGAGTAGAGTGAAGTTGACCGAGAGTAGGAGAAGAAATGAGGAGTGATTCAGCGGCCTGCTTAGCTTATGTTCTCACGCGAGAGTCCGAATCGTATAGTGTGAGGAAGCTTGTGGGACCCAGAGAGACGGCGGTTCGATACGACGTACCACTTCCTGTGGCATTAGAAGAGGCAGGCCGTGTACCGATACGATACTTGGGAATGTGGCTCGCAGAGGGGCTCTTCCTTTGGACAGTGATACTACGAGACAAACGACCCGAGAGGACTCATGATCTAGAAGGGGTCGGACATCTGATAGCGGATAGAGCACACGATTTAGAGATAGGACTAAAGCTCGCAGGGGCGAGCAGGAGTTGGTGGAGAAGTGAGTCGTTGGCCAGAGTGATCATTAATCAGCAACTGGCGAGACTCTCTGGAGGGAGGACAAGTTGGAGCTGCTTGGTGTACGGTCCACCACATCCGACCCTCTACCCGAGAAAGGATTGGCGATTCGGACTTCCTACCTTCGTGATAGGCCAGACCTATAGGAGCGTGGATCGTTTGAAGAGAGCAGTGGATTACACACTTTACGCGCTCTGGGAGGGCTTAGCGCCCCGCTTCAAGGAAGTATACTACGCCATTTGTGTGAGGTGGGGGCCGCCCAGTAGAGAGACGCTTGACGACATCATAGATGTTACGAGCTGGGTGGACTGTCTGAGGCCTATCGATCTGATTAGGTWCTGCAGGAGACGGGCAGAGATCGATTACGCGGGGCTAGAGGACGCGAGATTTCTCTTCGAGGTCGCAGCTTAGGGAATGTCGGGAAGGACGCCCACGGTGATGCGTGTAGAAGAGCAACTGGTAAGCACAGGATACACTGTGACAGTACTTCTCCGAGCGTACTTAGACGAGGACTTGACGGCGAGTGAGTGCAGACAACGAACTAGGGATTTGATCCACGAGCGAAGAGCTGATGTACTGGCGCGAGTGACCTTCCAGACCTCGATTACTTATGATGTGATGATATGGTCTCATGGTTATATGCGCGCGGAGCACTACCACGATGAGACGGTAGAGGAGGCTAGAGCGAGGGTGAGAGGATGAGCTGGAGAAAGTTGTGGACTGAATATGGAAGAGGAGAGTGAGGCAGTCAGAAGAGTGAGAAAGCGCGTTAAAGAACCACTCTTGAACCAGGTAAAGAAGTTGGGGGAC